ATGCGGGCACAACAGTGAATTTCTTCTTGACGTATGACCCTTGGTTATGATCTTGTCGTAACCATGGAGTGTCTTCATCATTTAACATGATGCTTGGATCTTTCTTCATTATGAAGGGTGGAATTCGGACATTTATTTCATAATCTTCTAACATGTCTGACTTGTCTTCAATTCCCACTATATTTATTTTCCTAGAAAGAACTATGTGGCGCTTTGGCTCATTGATCATTGAGTTGATGTCTTCATTTTTTCCTCTCTTTGATTTTGTAGACATGTCTTTCACATAGAACACCTGACTCACATCGGCCGCAAGGACGAATGGTTCGTCTTTGTACCCAATATTGTTGAGGTCCACTGTTGTCATTCCATACTCTTTGTTGACTGTTACCCCTCCTCTAGTCAGCTTCACCCATTGGCACCGGAACAAAGGGACTTTAAAATTAGGTGCGTAGTCTAGTTCCCATATCTCTTCTATGCGGCCATAATATGTTTGTATATTCTCATTTGGATTTGTGCCATCTATGCGAACACCACTATTTTGATTGATGCTTCTTTTATCTTGGGCAACTGTGTAAAATGTATTCCCATTTATCTCGTACCCTTGGTACATGAGGATATGCCACGATGGTTGCCTAGCCAACAAATACAGTTGCTCATCAATATTGTCATCGCCTTGACATTCTTTTCACAACCAACCACTGAAACTTTCCATGTGCTGACGCCTAATCCAAGCTTCAGTCTTCCCTGAAAACTTGGATCGTAAGAACTCCTTATGTATCTCGATGTACAGATGCACCAATGACGAGTTCTGAAGAACTGTGTAGTGTGCTTTATTGAAATAATCGCCTTCCATGCCGATATATGTTTTCTTCCCTAAAGTTCCTTTACCACTGAGTCTTCCCTCGTGTCGCAATTCGGGAATGCCAATCGGGGCAAGGTCAGGAATAAAGTCAACACAGAACTCAATGACCTCCTCTGTTCCATAGCCCTGGGCGATGCTTCCTTCAGGCTTAGAACGGACTTTCACATATTTCTTCAAGACTCCGATAAACCTCTCGAAGGGAAACATGTTATGTAAGAATACAGGTCCAAGAATACTAATCTCCTTCATCAAATGAACTAGGAGGTGTGTCATGATATTAAAGAAGGATGGAGGAAACACCAACTCAAAGCTAACAAGACATTGAACCACATCATTCTGTAGAGTAGCTAGTTCCACTGGATTGATTGCCTTCTGAGAAATTACATTGAGGAATGCACATAGCTTCACGGTGGCTAGACGTACATGTGGAGGTAGAATTCCTCTTAAAGCAACTGGAAGCAATTGCGTCATAAGCACGTGGCAGTCGTGGGACTTTAAGTTTAGGAATTTCTTCTCTGGCACATTTATTATACCCTTTATATTGGAGGAGAATCCCGATGGGACCTTGATGCTGCTTAGACATTCGAACATGTTGTCCCTCTCTTCTTTGCTAAGCGTGTAGCTAGCAGGACTTAAGTAATGATGCCCAACATCTGTCTTCTCTGGATGAAGGTTGGCTCGTTCTTTCATGCCCTGCAAGTCCTGGCATGCTTCAAGTGAATCATTTGGCTTCTCGTACACACCCATGAATCCTAATAGGTTCACACAAAGATTCTTTGTCAGGTGCATCACGTCGATTGTGTTGCGGACCTCTAGGACTTGCCAATAGGGTAGCTCCCAAAAGATGGACTTCTTCTTCCACATGGGTGCATGTCCCTTAGCATCTTTGGGAACATATTTGCTGCCTTGTCCCTTTTCAAATACTACTTTCACATCTTTGACCATTGCGAGTACATCTTCCCCGGTTCGGTTATGAGGCTTCTTCCGGTGGTCTGGCTTACCTTTAAAATGCTTCCCTTTCTTTCTTACTTGGTGATTCAAAGCTAGGAATCGACGATGGCCAAGGTACATGACCTTTCGACATCTTTTCAAATATATACTGTCAAGGTCATCAAAACAATGTGTGCATGCATTATATCCTTTGTTTGTCTGACCTGAAAGATTACTTAAAGCAGGCCAATCATTGATTGTTACAAACAACATTGCTCGTAGGTCAAAGTGTTCTTGTTTGTACTCATCCCAGACACGTACACCTGATTTGTTCCATAAAACTAGAAGTTCTTCAACTAATGGCTTCAGATAGACATCAATGTCATTGCTAGGTTGCCTTGGACCTTGGATGAGGATCGGCATCATAATGAACTTCCGCTTCATGCATAATCATAGAGGAAGGTTGTAGATACATAGAGTAACTGGCCAAGTGCTATGACTAGTGCTTTGCTCCCCAAAAGGATTCATACCATCTGTACTTAAGGCGAACCTTAAGTTTCTAGCCTTATTTGCAAACTCTAGAAATTCCCTGTCTATCGCTCTCCATTGGGATCCATCAGCTGGGTGTCTCAGCATATTGTCTACCTTACGGTCTTCTTTATGCCACCGCAACAACTTTGCATGGTCTTTATTTCTGAACAAACGTTTTAAGCGTGGTATTATAGGAGCATACCACATAACCTTGGCAGGGATTTTCTTTCTAGGACGTTGTTCACCCTCGACGTCACCAGGATCATTGCGCCTGATCTTATACCGCGATGCTTTATATACTGGGCATTCATCCAAATTCTCGTATTCATTGCCATGGTAAAGGATGCAGTCATTAGGACATGCATGTATCTTCTGAATTTTTAATCCCAAAGGGCAGACAACCTTTTTTGCTTCGTACGTAGTGGTGGGCAATTCATTTGGCTTCGGAAGCATCTTCTTTATGAGGTTCAATAAATTCCCAAATGCCTTGTCGGATACACCATTCTTTGCCTTTCACTGTAGCAATTCCAGTGTTGTACCCCTCTTCGGCCGTCGGGTATAGCAACTTCCTATGATCCTCAAGCATGCGCTTGAACTTAACTTTCTCTTTTTCACTTTCGCATTCTTGTTGTGCATCATGAATGGCATCGCCAAGAGCATCACCGAGATCATCTTCTGCCGCTACATCTTCTTCATCTCCCCCCATTGTAGTATCATCAAAGGCACCATACTGAACAATAATGTCATCAATGTCTAAATCTTCTCGTTCACCTTCTTCCATCATGACCCCGCTTTCTCCATGCTTAGTCCAACATATATAGTTTGACATGAAACCCGACTTAAGCAAATGTGAATGAAGACTCTTTGAACTTGAATATTCCTTTAAATTCTTACATAGGGCACATGGACAGCACATGAAACCATCCTGCTTATTTGCCTCGGCCACACCTAAGAAATAGTGCACGCCCTCAATAAAGTCTTGGGAGCGGCGATCGGCATTGTACATCCAATGTCGTGACATAATCTGCATTACACGACAAATTATGAAAACCTTGAACATAATTAAGTATTTTATTACACAACATAGATGACACACACATGGTTGATTAATTAACTAAGCCTGGCTACAACGTAAGCAATCCCAACTATCACTAAACAAACTAAAACTACAATGCACTTCAGTAACATAATTATTTCATGACCAGACGTTAACTAAAAAGCAAACAAATCATTAAATCATTCGTCTGAAATATCAATAAGCTTCTCCTGCTTGGCTCACGCCTCATCATTAGCGTACCGCTACCTCAAGCGCAATCTTAATTCTCGCACGTATGTAGCATAATCTTTCTCCCAAGACCAACCATCGCATCCATTGCCCTCCCACTCAAAATTAAAGCCAAAAATATTTAGTCAAAATATTCAAGAAAAGCGAGATCAATTAGCCATAATAATCAAATGCGTAAGAAACTCACATCGCGATCCGGCACTTGTAGAAAACACGACCCTTGTTGGGTCCCTCGTCTCTTGACTCGGTACTCCATCACAATCTTCTCGCTTACACTTGCCGCAGAGATAATGAGAGGGAGTTCGCCTCGATCATTTCAAGAACCGAATGAGAGGCCGAGGATCCGCACCAGATTGTCATCTACTTTCTATACTTATTTTTGCAAACTAGTGTAAATTTCACATTTTCTAAAATAATATATTTAAACAAAACTAAAATTATTTATTTATCTAACTAAACCATGAAATATGTACTATGTATAATAGTAAAATACCAAACTATCAAGTGATTTTACTATTATAAATCATCATGTGATTTTGAGCTAAAAATGACATAGAAATCATAATCAAATTCACCATATCAAGTTACTTTCTATACTTATTTTTGCAAACTATTGTAAATTTCTCATTTCTAAAGTAATATATTAAAAAAATAAAAATATTTATTTATCTAACTAAACCATAAAATGTACTACATATACCAGCAATACTAAACTATCAAGTGATTTTGATGAACTAATTTAACTTTTGTTTATCCAAACATATATGCAAATCATCATGTGATTTTGAGCTAAAAATGACATAAAATCATAATAAAGTCCAACATATAAAGTTACACATGCATCTACATCGCAAAATGAGATAAGCTACTGATAAAATATAAGAGGATTAAGTTTGTTACCTCCAAAATCGAAGAGCAACACTAATGGAGGGGGAGAGAGCAAGAACAACAGCAAGCTGAAGAACAGAGGCAGTGAGTTTGAATGGAATGGCTCGGGCTCGGAGAGGAAGAAATGAGCTGGTCTATAGGCCGGGATAATTAGTACCGATTAGGGGGCTAAACCGGGACTAAAGATTAATCTTTACTCCCGGGGCATCACCCAAACCGGGACTAAAAGCTTTAGTTCCGCCTGGTATTACCAACCAGGACTAAAGATTGGTAATACCAAACGGGACTAAAGATCCCTGCCCCGCGGACGACCGTTGGGCAGGAACCTTTAGTCTCGGTTGGTAGGACTAAAGGAACCTTTAGTCCCGGGGACAAAAAATACCGAGGCTAATGCCAAATTGGGACATCGTTCTAAAGTCTGTTCTCTAGTAGTGCTCTGTGCTTAGTGCTTACTGATTGATGACTGCCCTGACGAGGCTGCGCTGTTGTTGGTGGCGGTCGCGCTCATCCTCCACGGTGGGAATCAGCTTGCGCTCGCCGCCGAAGGTGCTGGAGCCCGGAGCTGGTGAAGAACTCGGAGACGGGGTGGCCGGATCCGGACAGGATGGGCGAGCGGTCGATGCGCAGGATGTACGGCTGCAGGTCCTCGTAGGTCACCATGGGGACCTTGGCCCGGAAGGTGGAGTGGTCGGTGGCGCCGGCCAGGCCGCACCTCGTCGCGAGGTACTCGGCGTCGGCGTTGTGGGCGAGGATCTCCGCCAGCACGCGCTGCTGCACGGCGTCCACGTCGGCGGTCACCTCCTCGATGAACCGGAGCCTGTCGGCGTCCGTCGTCGTCTCCGCCATGACTGCTGCCAGTGACTGGTTCAATCTATCCTACTGGGACTGCGAAACGCTAGCTGTTTTGAGGGAGGGCCGATGTCCAATCTCAAAACACTATTGAATCAGTCGAAATCAGCCGAAATAAGCCACAAACTAGATCAGCCGAACACTCCGATAATGACCAGTTTCTACTAGGCTTGCATTCTACAGTGAACACAACTCTTATACCAATTTGTCACACTCGATTTTAAGGACAAAATCGAATGCAGAACTCTACGTGTGTCCATGAAAGTCACACACATAAAATAATAAATTACAATGTATCGTCACATATGTTTATTATGTAGCGAACAATATCTCATTAAAAAGGTAGCATGTCTAATAAATAAGTGGAATAACGTGATAGCTAATTATAAAACTAATTGCAGAAGGCATGACTAATTCGCGAGACGAATATATTAAGCCTAATCAATTTATCATTAGCACATTTACTACAGCACCATGTTGTCAAATCATGGATTAATTAGACTTAATAGATTTGCCACACAAATTAGTCTTAATCTGTGCAATTAGTTTTATAATTAATCTATATTTAATACTTTATATTAGTGTTAAATATCCGATATCACAGGAACAAAAGTCCATGGAACCAGACACCCTGTCACAGAGCGAGGCCCCTTCTGCACACTGCGCTACCACAGTCGATCGGAAGCATTCAGAGGCCAAGGCTACATATCTACTCACATCACCGTCATGGAAATAATTCAGATAAATGACTGCAGTAGTAGTGGCTGGCACGGAAGAAACAATGGTCATACTTGTATTTATGGCTACTGCTATAGCACTGACAATTTAATAAACTGTACAATTTGACTACGCTATCCATCAAGATCACGTATAATAGTACGCTATCCAAGAGTTGTTGTGAATAGGACAAGTATGTAAGCCCTAAAGGTCAGAGCAGTTGGTGTTGTGAAGAAGCTTAATTAGCATGTATATATTGCCTGGACGAGGACTTTGTGTTTTGAGTACACTACTTTCACTATGAATTTACAAGAATATCGTAATTTCTACAAGAATCCACTGAATTTTCCATGCTACAAGGCAGACAGGCATGCAGTTCACGCATCCAACAACCCAGAGCCTGTTCGTTTTGTTGTAAACGATCGTGGATTATTTACTGCTAACTGATTTATTGTGCGAGAAAAATATTATTCCAACTTATAATCCACGATCGTATACGAGCAAGCAAATAGGCTGTCAGTTGCGACCCAAGTCGTACGAGCATAATTTTTTTTTCATTTCAGCAGTTCTAGCTATATATGTTCTCCATCTTGCTTCTAAATAAAGCGATCGAATTCAACAGCTGGTGGAGAAGGTTCCAATGCAATGTTGCCTACTTTTCAATAGAGAGAACAATTTTTATCAGGATATATATATATATATATATATATATATATATATATATATATATATATATATATATAAAGTAATACAAGTATGTATAGTTTCACTGAAAATATGTTTTTTAGGCATTTCTACTCACATTAAAGAGAGTGTGTGGGTCGCCACCAAACAACTCTATATGACAAAACACTAACCGAATGGAGTTGTTTCACTAGGATGGAAATTAAGAAAAAAATAACCCTGGAACCAGTGTTATAAGTAATACAAGTATGTATAGTTTCACTGAAAATATGTTTTTTAGGCATTTCTACTCACATTAAAGAGAGTGGGTGGGTCGCCACCAAACAACTCTATATGACAAAACACTAACCGAATGGAGTTGTTTCACTAGGATGGAAATTAAGAAAAAAATAACCCTGGAACCAGTGTTACCAGTAGCACAGTTTAGACTATATATACCTTGGAGGACATAAACTAGAACACAACTGAAAATCGTGCGCAAACTAGCACAAAGTACTGATGAGTTGCATGTGCACCTACTAATTAAATAAGAAAACTAAGCTGATGAGGAAGGGTAGTAGTCCATCAACCGTTCTTGTAATTTTAAGAGATTGAAATTCATAGATAAATTTAGAGGGACATATATCTAAATCAAAATTGTTTATTGTTGCGGTCTCTAATTTCTTTATACAAGCCCATCAAAATTGATTATATTTCTCTCTCTCTCATTCATTTCTAGCCATTTATATACTATATACTATCTATGTGATTGTGATAACTTATCAATTACACTATTTGTGTTTTCATCATTTGCATTGTACCTCTATGGATCTTTTAATTTGCATTTAATTCAAATCATAGCTTAAGTTATTACGGCTCTGGTTATTGCATCCTTTTTATCTCATGAATCAGCCAGCCTGTTCGCTTGTTGGTTTCAGCCAGCCCAAACCAGCCAGCCAACAGTGTTTTTCTCTCATAAAAAACCAGCACTAGCCAGTCCAAACCAGCACCAGCACCAACCAGCGAACAGGCCCAGCTTTTGATCTTATTGGTTGTTGACATTTTTATCCACATGTTAAGTTGATACTTGTAAGGAAAATGGACCATCGGCCCATTTAGTTTGGATTTTGATGTTTGATGAGCAACAAGACTAAATTGGACTAATGTGTTTACAAGTGTTTGTTTTGTAATCAAATAGGGTGCACAAGTGGCTTGGACTTATGTCACACCTGATTTTAAGGACAAAATCGAATGTAGAATTCTATGTGTGCCTAGGAAAGTCACACACATAAAATAACAAATTACAATGTATCATCGCAAGTGTTTATTACATAGCAAACAATATCTCATGAAAAAGGTAGCAAGTCTAATAAATAAGCAGAATAACGTGATAACTACTCTCCACGAGAGCCTCCAACTCCACAGGGACTATTGGCTGGTGAACCACGAGTCTAGTAGTCTTCTGGAAAATCATCATAACCTCCATACTCTATTACCCATCCGGTATTTTTTTCCCAAGTATTGAAAATAAACAAACGTAAGTATATTTCGTACTTAAAAAATATAACATGGGGTTCATGAGGCTCAAAAGGCTGAGACACAGCTTTACAGCGTTAAGCACTTTAATGTGTCAAATTTTATCATTAGTAGCATCAAAATAGCAGTGCCCCAATTAATCAGTAGCATCAAAATAATAAGAATGAATGAGATAACAGTTAAAAACATCGTCGATCATGTATCATTATTCCATAAGGAGTCCAGGCCGCTCGTGACCTTGAGCACAGCTGTTATAACAGTTTTTAACACTCTGCAGAGGTTATACACTTTCACCATGAGTCGTGATTTAACCTTTCGCCCGAGGAGATCAGCCTCTTGACCCACTTCCAAGGAAGGTCGGCAGGGTTCACTATGAAGTCTTTCAAAAGTTTTTCTAACAAGTTAGTGGCCACTAGGTTTCAATGGCAAGGGGGATATAGAGCCCCCCTTTCGAAAGGCACACTCACGTAGAAAGTACTCTTAGGAATAGAGGCCGCACTATACCCAGCTCGGCAAACCCCTTTTGTGCCTTTCGGTAACCACTAACAAGCTAGAAAATGTCCTCATACTTGACTAAAGCCAGAGCCATATAGCCCTCATGGTTGTACTATAAGTCATGGGTGATCGCTTACAGATAAGTCCTTAGGGAGGATGAGAGCATCATATATAAAGCCAAATGCTCTCACCCTTTAATTCTAGTTGCGAAAAAGCATTTTTTATTTTCTCGTTGCATATTCCATTAATCAAGTTACAGTTCATGATCATAATTAATTGCACTAGCATCAGCTACCCATATGCAAGTATCCCCATAGCTGACAAGGAATCAGGATATCAATAACTTGGAAAGTAACTGCGATTATCAAGGTAGACACATGCATATGATTGAATGATTATTAAGATGAATAGGACAACAAGGATGATCCCATGCTATACTTGTCTTGATCGAAGTTTCCCTGCTGGTCCTAGTCTTCAAAGTATTGGTCCTGCTCACCCACGTATTGCTCACCATCTGTACTCGATTGATACATCAACATACAATCACCACAGACAATCATGCACGAAGCAAACAATAATATAATTGGAACAGTACACCAACAGTGGAAAAACTTGTGGAAAAGTTTATAAAACTGTTCTACATGTCACTATGAACACACAGACGCAAAAACCACTGAAATCGGAGCTGAAACGGACAAGACATGGGGTTTTAAAGGAGTGGATGGCATTTCTATAAATTCTAGGAATTGAAATACGCCTTCCAAGCTTGAAAGCGTAGTTTCTGAAGGCACCTTGGACTGCGGGTTTAAAAAGGAAGAAAGGGAGGGTTCTTTAGAAAAATTACCCCGCGAAGGGGTAAGTTCTAATCTCGGTCGTTCATTTTGAGATGGACGGCTGGGGAGATTGGGGGGGGGCACAGCCAGCCGGAACAATGCCGAGCACGATGGCCGGCCATGAACGGCGGCGAGGAGGTCACCGGCGAGCGCGGAAATGACCGTAGGGGCCACGGAGAGACGAGCCAAGGTTATGGGGAAGTAGAGGGGAGCACGGCGGGCTCACCTAGCGGCTCAACACGGTTGAAGGGGTGCTGGGGACTACAAAACAACGGCGTTGACGGATGCCAGGCGGGAGAGCTAGTGGTGGCGGCGTTTCAAAGGGGAAGGGAGAGCAGGGAGGGGCGAAAAGGGAGCGGAGCGAGGCTACGGTGCCGAGGGGCACGTCTTAAGGGGCTAAATGGGGAAGGGCGAGCGGTGGGGCGGGTGGAAGCTCGGTGGCTCTCCGTTTATGGCAGACGCGACCTCGACCGAGAGTGAGCGGCTGCGAGCGAGGAGGAAGGGGTCGCGTAGCGGCAGTGGATGCGCACGGGGTGCGGGGCGCGGATCTGGGGCGGGCGTGATCACGCGGGGCTACCTGGTCGTGCGGGAGGAGCGGAGCGGGGCGACGACTTCACTCGGCGCGGGTGTGCGTGGCATCACGCGGTGTGGGAAAGAAGAAGGGGAGGGGAGAGGCTGACGCATGGGCCTCAGCAGTCAGCGGCTCAGGCGCGCGGAGGGTGCGGCTGGCAGGCGGGGCTCACTGGGCTGCGG